TGTGTGTGTGTGTGTGTGTGTGTGTGTGTGTGTGTGTGTGTGTGTGTGTGTGTGTGTGTGTGTGTGTGTGTGTGTGTGTGTGTGTGTGTGTGTGTGTGTGTGTGTGTGTTCTGGGGTCTCTGTCTGTCACAGTAAAGCTATTGGAGCCCTGTAGCTTTGGGATTTGTTCATTTGAAGGGGGGGACACTAGACTCTTTCCCCTGTTCTTTGAGCTCCTTATTAGCAGCATTTTTGGGGGTTCCCAATGTCGGGTCGGGGGAGGCTGCTTCTGGAGGGAAAGACAATGAAAATGTTCAGGTGTTTGATGGATGTCCAAGTTATGTCCATGCAGACGGTTTCAGGCTAAGCTATGAATGGAATCAGGAGCACTTGATTCTGCAGACAGAGAGAACAGTTCAGAAAATGAAAGGATTATTTTTAACAACTAAAAACACTCACAAAGAAAGAGATGTAGACTATCTAGCACTTTGTCTCAATTGTCCCCATTTGCGGTTGGAAAATGATGGCTGAATAAACCAGCTTAATGCTGGCATCACTAGCAGCTCATGAGCTTAAAGGTAATAAGCTGCTTAGCGTTTAGAATAGCAACAATAAGAAGTGGAGCAGTCTGAGACGGGAGACGTGTGCAGGGCAGCGTGGAAAACAACAGCGGCTCAGAGCTGACCCTCCACTCTTCACCACTCAACACGTAAGTTTCTTCTTTTACTCCTCATTCTTTTATGTTCAGTATTTTTGGAAGATGCTGAAAGTTCATTCGCTTCTTAACATTCTCATCCCTCTAAACTCTTAAACATTGCTCACCGCATGCAGAATATCTGGCTATTTTTAACTACGTACTGCTTAGACTGTTTTTCATCCAAGAACTGTAAACTGGTTTATAAAGCTGTTGTAATAAAACAGGAAGACTAATTTACTGAGAGCTAGTAATAATTCAGACATTTTTACAGCTGCTGTATGAGGGGATTGCTTTATGCTACTTTGATTCTTCATGTGCGTGCACATGGTTTGAAACGTGTTTGATATTTTCTGTTGCTCACCTTTTATTCAGTGACAGATATGTAGGATCTCATCCACATATTCTATTAAGACAATAAATTAGTATGTGTTTTGTCTTGGTTTTCATACAGGGGGCATAGACAGCATAACTCTTTAGCTATCTTAGTATTGATTTAAAACAATTACTGTATTTAATATTTAAATAAATAGTGTCATTTGTAAATGACAAATGTCTGACATTTCCCATATATAACAAATGTTTTTGTTCTTGCAATAGTGTTGGATTTCAGAATGAGCAAAAGGGGGAGGAGGCGGAACAGCAAGCGGAGGAAGAGCTCCAGCAGCAGCAAACGTGAGTGGAGGCTCTGAGCTTAATCTGGAGCTTAGAGCAGTCACATTTTCTCCCACACCGACATGCAGCCTCCAGCACACCAACTCCTGCAAAGCAGAGCTGCATTGGATAGTTTCCTCTGTTTAGGAAGTTACACACAGTGTATGCGGTAACAAACACCAACGGCAAAACTGTTGTGTTTTCCATCTTCCATATCCATCCTGTTCCAACAGTAATAAACCAACACCTGTGCTCTGAAACAAGATTAAACACTTGTTTGACCTTAGAGTACAGCATTAAAAAGGAGTCAGGATTGGAACCAGGTAGTCTAACAAGCCTGTTGGGAGCCATTCAACCTTAAACATTTAATGACAAAGTCTGCCTCCAATTCAGCTTTAGATGCCCATGTCTGTTTAAAAATGGGCATAGAGCTCTAGATTTCTCTGATACTTATCTGCACTAGCTGTCCTGTTGACAGTGAGACATGTTGAACACATCAGTTTAGCACAGGTTTATGATCAGTTAGTTATAAATCAGTTTCACACTTTGGCCTCATAGTTCTTGTTTGAGTTGCTATTTTCTATGATAAATAAACGTTGAACAGCATCTCGTTAAAGTGATAATCTTATATATATTTAATTGTCATTTAGAAGGCAGCAAAAGTGAAGAACAGGACTTGTCATTGGTCAGGCACTTGCCGAGTATCAACCAACATTAAGATTCTATCAGATACATGGGTAAGAAAGGGATCAAATTAATTAACCAGAGGGTCTCAATAGAGAATTAAAAACTTAAACCACTAGTCAGAACTTGGGTTCATTTATGAGTAATTTTAGAGAGAAACTGGAGGTTCAATAACTCCCAGAGATTCATCAAGTCAGACAGGAGAGCAGCGTCTGGTCCAGAGGAGGAGTCACCAGTAGCAGAGCAGGTGGACACAGGTCCACTTTAGTTTTCTGATTTTTGAAACTTTCAACAACATTGTAATGAATTACAAGTGGAATTAAAACAGAATATAACCAGTAGATGGCAACATTGTTAATGTTTAGTATAACATTTAGGGAATATTTTGTTTGTGGACATTCAAAGTAGAGTCATATTTTCAACCCTCCTTTCATAAACTCGGGCTATCCAATGTTAAACTGAAGTTTGTCACAGATGTTACCATCATTTACGTTTGTTACTGTACATTACAGCATTTCAACCCAATGTCATTATGTCTTACCCCTTTCTTTCTTTTGCCTTAATTTCAGAGAGTCCCTCACCTTCCATCTTTCAAAAGCAGATCAAAAGTGACAGTGTCAGCTACAGGGACGATAATGTGGAGAAGGGAGAAAAAGACTCTCTACGAAAGGAGAACGTCTTCTTAAGATCTGATGATAAAGAATCATACATCAATGCTCCACCACAGGAAAAGAGATATAAACTGGAACACGATGTGACCTCATTTCCAGGCCATGGGAGTGTTTTCACAAAAACTACAGAGGTTTCAGAGAGGGGAGTGAAGATTGTAACATCCGTGTGTGTAAATGACGTTGAGGATTCTGCACCCAAGATCATGTTTCAGCGCTCACAGGAGCCCTCATCAGAAAATCCAGCCATCTCAACACAAATTACAAATATTTTCCAAGTAAACTGCACTGGATTGCATGTAAAAGTTGAAATTCAGGAGGCTGTTCAACGGAAAACGTACGATGAGGAGAGCACATGTGTGGTCAGCAATGAAAGCAGGAGCAACACTGAGATGAACATTAAGCGAAAATGTGAAAGCATATGGATGATGGACAATGAGCCTTCACAGCCCTCGTTACCAAATGTCACCGGTCACACACAAAATCAAATGACTAATTCCATTTTTACTTTTGGGCGCACAAGTGAACAATCAGATTATCAAAATCATTCCAAATCTGTCTGCTCAACCAACATATGGGCCAACCCCATTTACTGCCAGTGTTGCGGTGGTCCAAACGACTTAAAGTTAACTAATTATTCACCAAGCTCCCCATTAATGATGAACAGAAAACTTCAAGCGAAGAGGGAAGACGGCTTTATGGGGGATGACTTTTGGGACATTCCACCACCTCAAGAGTTTGCAGATAATAGATACAACCCTATGGAGGACCTCACACATGACCTGGCTTTCCTACAGATTGGTGGTCAAAGTCCTGCTTACACAGAGGAAAGCTCATTTCAACCAGCCTTCACAGCTGAATCCAGGTGTACATTTTATTTCCAGGGAGAGGAAGGGGAAGATGTGGCACCTTGTTTGGATCAGTTATCGGAATCCGATAACTATGAGCCCATGTTCATGAGACCATCACTGTCCACCAACAGGTCCAGCTTCACAAAAGACTTCATTTACTGTCAGAGGAGAAAATCCTGGATAAGAAATAACAGTATTGCTGCTGTAGAGCACAGAATATGTTCCTCACTCAAGAAGAGACGGCAAACATTTCCTGGGATGTCACAAAGAGCAGGATGGATGCAAGATGATTTCCAGCTGCCTTATCATGAATCTTATACCTCTTCAATCACGTGTCTGCTTCCTTTCCAAACTGAGAGACTGAAGAGGATTAAAAGGTTAGATGAGGAGTTGTCTCCATTTGGAACAGGAAATGACATTTCTTCAAAAGCTCAGGAGTGTCAGACACCCGTCTCAGTGGTCCTGAACACCAATGCAGAGAAACAGGAATTGCTCCATCCGTTTTATACGAGCAGCTGGAAGGATCATTCCAACGAACATGATCCAAGACAAAGCAGCAATGACTGCCACGATACTGATTTGAAACACAACATTTGTAAGAGCATACAAAGATTTGAGACTGAAACTTGTGAATATAAAGTTGATCAAAATGACCCTATAGACAGTAGTTTTGATCAGGAATTTGCAGATGTGGAATATTTCAGCTCAGAAACTTTGGCGGAGGAGAGACTTGTCAGAGGACTCTCTATACAAGTCATCCCTCCATCCTGCAGTGGTTCAGAGGAACAGATTCTACAGAGTCAGCCACTGAAGTTAGTCCAGAACAACTTCAACTCAAGTCAGTGTGAATCAGAGTCTGCTTTCCATGAGCAGAACTCATCTAACAGAATAGAGGCTACTGATGCACTCCGGGAAAAGCTCCCTCAGAGGAACTCAGCATCATCATGCATGCATCCTGTGCAGGACACAGATGGGCATTCATTCCCCAGAAATGAGGGTACAGATGAGGCTGAACTTAAACCAGCTGAAACAACAGCTTCCAGTTGCACTCAGCAGCCGATCACTGCTGACAAAAATGATCTGCCATTAGCCAAAGGAGGGAGTGGGACGGAATGTTCTACCAGACCTACAGAGACTGCACAACATCCAGACAGCACCAAAGAGCTGCACGTTAAAGCGGACAAGCCAAACATGTACAAATGTAAGTTGTAATGTCTGTACAATGCTTTAAAAACTAGGGTAAATTTGATGTGATCTCACGCTCCTCTGCTTTACTTTTTAATGAACAATTCCAGCTTCCAAAGAGACCAAAGAACATCTCAAACCCGTGGCTCACAAAGACTGGGATGGCAGTGGCTCAGACCACTGGGCCAAGAGGAGAAATATCTTCAAGGAGAGCAGGCAGTGGAGCTCTGCTGGGGGGAGCTCCATTACTAGCGACATTACAGAGGAATCAGGTAACTTTATATCAACAGGTGCATGTGACAGACATTTACCACTGTTGTACGACAACCTTAGTTCCAAAAATTTCGGAAATGCAATTGTATACAGTAAGAAAATGAGATTATCATGCCTGACATCATTGTATTCAGTAAACTGAAATTTAAAATCATACGTAGCATCTGAAGCAGCCAACAGCCTACTAAAAGTAGCTCCAGACTGCTTTCTGATATAGGAGTCTTTACGGTCCAGATGTGTAAGAACTGGGTGGAGATTTAGACCAGAATGTGAACTGGAAGGGGTCCAAAGAGGGGAGGAGAACAGACGGTGTGCTCTGTGACCAACTGTTTGAAGCACTTAATGAGGCCGGGTGCAACTGGACAGTAGTCACTGAAGCTGGAGGATGAGGACCTATTCGGTCCTGGGTTGATTGGGGTGGCTTTGAAGCATGTGGTGACAACTGCCTGACTCAGTGGTGCCATGTAATCTCCTGGTTCTCGGGAGGAGACGTTTGAAACGTTTGGAATTCTGGGTCCCAAAGTGAACAAAGAACCCTTTAGGATCTTTTGGGAGAGGGATGACTGTCACAGGTCTGTAGTCTGAGCTGAGTCCTGCCACAGGCTGCATGAGCCTCTGCTGTCATTGAAGCAGGAGGGTATCCTCCTGGATCACCGTCTCTAAGCCTCCCTGATGGCGCGTGCTAGCACATACTTAGTCAGGATGTCATCAGGGCGGGGACAATGGGAGACTACTGGGCGCTGACAGAGTCCCATGGTTTGATACTGCCTTCGTCATGTGAACTCCACCCATTTCGAAAACGTGACACTAACAAATGTCTGATTTCAATATTTCTGTGATCATATATGTTGTAATAACCAAATACACAAACCAACACCGTGCCACAATGTCCTTCAATGTTGTCTCATGCTTGCGTTGTGTACAAGTGACATCTCGCTACAGTCAGCCATATTTTTATTCGGCCATAATTTCTAATAAAAACAACAGATAACAGCTCAATAGCATCTTAGCCTCTGGAGCTGAATGCCACTGTCTAGGACAGCATCGTTGACCACGTTTCCAGAAACACAGAGGCATAAGAGTCTTACACATCCGCCTGTAGTGTCCAGGAAGCTTCCCTGGGCTTGTGAGGGCTAGCCGCTTGCCTGGCCTGGATGCCTGCACGTATGCCTCTTCCTGCATCCTTACATGGCCGTGTGGTGCCTCCACTCTGGGCAAGAGGCAGGTGTGGTGGTTGTGCCTGGTCCAGGCCTGCAGAGAACAACACAGCCTTCTAACACGCCCCTTGAACAGGTTTCAGTTAAAGATTGTTTTCTTGCCAATGTCAAGGAGAGACTCGTGACTTTAAGTCTGTCTCTAAAACAATGAGGACTTACAAAAACACTGACGCCTACATACCAACATTGTATTGCTATAATGATACTTAACATTGCAGGTCATGAGGAACTTTAATTCTTTAATTCTAACCCTTAAGTCTTTATCCTACCCATAACCCATTCCCATAAAAACAATTATGAAGTATCATTGGACCTTGACAATACGGTATTGTTTCATGTACTTGTGTTGTTTTTTTCCTTAGTATCAGAGGACACTCACTCTACAGACATCATAGTTCCAGACAATGAAGACAGGGGGTTTTATACAGAGACATTCCATTCCTCAGCATGGATTTATCAGGGGGATGATGAGAGCTCAGGGTCCATTCATCCCAGCCTGACAACCAGAGCCCGTCCTATCTCAAGTAAGCTGGAGATTGTTTTGTTTTTTACCGACTGATTTTCAGCAGTTCCACCTGTACTCAGCAAAGCTTCGTAGAGAGACAGCAAAGTCCCAGTTTTAAGAACCTGCCTTCCTCTGGTGGGCAGAGTACTATAGCCCCCTTTTCCTCAGGGCTCAGGCTGTGAATTATTTGTCCTAGGTCTTACTGAACCAATCCTGCAACTGACTCAGGACTGAGTCCACTGGGGGTGCCTGCTCACTGGACTGTTTCCCGTTTCTAACCTGTTCCAACAGGGACTGTTCTAACCTGTGCTTGTAGAGTCCTCTTGGTGCAACGGGTTGTGTTGGGATTCGAGTTTTTGTTACTTATCTTCATTGTGTTGGCATAAAAAGTTGCAAGTAGTGAATAAACTTAGAAAACTGGTGATTAAGATATTGGGCTGCTGGTCTCTCCATACATGTGGAATATGTATGGAGTGGAGGGATCACTCTCCCTCTGAGAACTGGAGGTTACAATGTAAACTGTCTTTACTGTCTCATTAACAGATTTTTCTTTTTTCTACTTTGATCTGAAACTGAGACTACAAATCATTACATTTAGACGATATGTTCACTTAAAACATTTCCAGAATGTCACTCTGCTTTAATTAAGTCCTGATTTTCTAACCACTGCCTGCTGTGACAGAACCAGCTTTCAGGATGCTTAAAGCCAGTGTCTGAGCAGAGTCCGGCTGGATGACAGGGGCCGTGATCTAGTAGAGGTGGGGTTAGAGTGAGCAGAACATTATGAACATTTTATGGCACAGTTAGTATCACAGTGCCTGACAGACGACTTTGCTCCTGTAATTATTTAATGTGACAGAACCAACTCAACAATGCATAAAACCAAGCTGAGTCTGTTCTGAAAAAGGCTTCAAAGACCTGTCCAGCTGTGTGGTGTTACATTTTTATGCTCAATTTTTTATCTTTTTTATTTTGTTGGCTCTAGTGGCCTTTAATGACAGTAGCTTGGTAGGAAAGGGGGCAGAGATAGGGAAGGGGAGAGGCTCCACACATGGTCGGCCCGCTGTAACCATAAGGCTAAGCTGCGGCCCTTTTATGGTCAAATTTAATGGAAAAACAAAGTAATTGTTCCATATTTTTGTTCTTTTCTTCCAGTACGAGAGAGAACTGTCAAGATCAGCAAAGGAACAGGAGAGTATCCTTGGGGCTTTCGGATACAGTTTTCTAAACCCATTGTTGTTACAGAGGTCGACACAAGTAAGTGAAACCGAAATTGTTGCTAAATACGATTTAAAAGACATTAAGGGAATAGTATGAGGATTACACTTTTGAATTTCAGCAGCAAGGGGAGTTTGCATTTTCTCTGAACACATTTTATTGTGGTACACTAGTTTTAAGCCACTTTCCAAAAACATGTAATTTGGGTTCATTACGGATATGAGACTGATTCACTGGCTAGAATGACTGAGTTGGATGAAGTATTAAAGATAAAGTGACTAATTTTTTAAGATAGATATGAATGTTAGGGCCGCAGCGTAGCCTAATGGTTAGAGCGGGCGGCCCATATATAGAGCCTTTGCTCGTAAGCGGGTGGCCGTGGGTTCGAATCCGGCCCACGGCCCTTTCCCGCAGGTCTCTCTATCTCTGCCCCCTTTCCTGTCAAGCTACTGTCATTAAAGGCCACTAGAGCCAAAAAAAAATCTTAAAAAAAAAAAAAAAAGATAGATATGAATGTTAAAGTTACCCACTAAAATAGCTTTATCTGTATTCAGCACTGAGTTAAAGACAGCATGATACACAACAAATAACAGAAGGAGCTGATTAGAAACCCTGTTCTTGAAGATAGCTAGACATCTCCTCCTGTTCCTGTGGTTCCAGGAATGTGATCAAAAGCAGTCGCTATTCCCGTTGGCTGCTTAGGCCAGCTGTCAGACAGAGTAGCACTGGTGTTAAGTAATGCCCCTATGTGTTCTTCCACTGAAGTGAAGTGAATGACCTACCGAGCACTACAAGAACAAGACTGTTCCTGTCTACCATTCAAACGCTTGGAGAGCCAGCTCTTCAGAGAGCATCTCCTCCCCTGACTCTCACCCTGTACCTCCCTCCACCTGCACCCTCTCCCCACTGCTCCCTCTAACAGAGTCTGGTGACTTCCCTCCATGTAGCTCATTGCTAGCTTTAATATTAACTGTAATGCTGTGTCCGCACTGTAAGTGACTTTGGATTAGAGCGTCAGCTAAATGCACAAGCTTCACCAGAGAGTCTCAACTAAGGGGGTATTCCCCTTTCATATGCCCATTTTCATTTAAAGCAGAATTCATATGGAAGGGGGCTGTCTGCCTGATATTCATCCGTTTGGGGGTCCTTTACTTACACAAGACCCTGCTATGGTCTGTCAGCATGCCTGTACGGTGCTGTGATAGAGAAGAGCACTGCTCTAACAGAAAGACAAAGACGTGTGCAGTGTTGTGTGAACCCATTTTCTGTGGACTTCAAGACCAGGAACAGTGCAACTGGGACTCTGCAAAGAAACCAGTTGTAACCTTTTGCTAAAGTCATTCTTTATGAATGAAACCAGATGTTCATAAAGTCCATCTGCTGAGTTTAACCGGATGCTTAAATGACATTTTACTCACAGATGGAGCTGCTGAGGAGGCAGGCCTGATGGTGGGAGACTACGTCCTAGCTGTTAATGGAATTGATGTCACTAGCATTCCTCATTCTGAGGCTGCTAATTTAGCAAGGCAAGGTATGGTGTGCTATGGGCCAAAGGATCAGTAATGACTGACCTCCATGTGCAATAAAAGCTCACTGAAATAATCTGTTATGTTGGTCCTTTTGCAGGTCCAGACGTTTTAACCTTGACCATTGGCTCAGACATTGCTCATGGTCCAAATACACCTCGGCCGCCATGTCGTGGTTACCTACATAAGCGTACCCAGTCTGGTCTGATAAAAGGCTGGAGGAAGAGGTGGTTTGTACTCACACATGACTGCTGCCTTTACTATTACAAACACAAACGGGTGAGTAAGAACAGGAAATGGACTCATTCGACTAAAAACAAGAGACTAATAATTAAAGCAAATCAGTTTGGATCCGATATTCTTCCATGTTCTTTACAGGATGAAGGAAAGAGGCGTGCACTGTCATCTGTAAAGCTGGAGGGGGCCGAGGTGGGTCCAGATAATTCCCTGGGCAAACCGTTTGTGTTCAGGTGCCACCCTCAGTTTGGGAATCGGGTGTACCTTCTCTGTGCTACTTCAAACCAAGAAATGAAAAGGTAAAAAAAAGTAAAAAAAGTAAAAACTTGACAAATCCCAACATTCCATATATGTATACAAACATGTTTACGTGTCAATAACTTGTTTTATAAAGCCTGTAGATCAGTTCATATTGATATCACAGCCAAAAACCATGCCCGATTTCTACAAGTGACCTGAAACATCAGATTACATTTTTCATATCTTTGTGACCTTAGGTGGCTGGAAGCTATGAAAAAAGCCATATACCCCATCACACAGGTAAGTGCCTGTAGAAAGTGCCTTAAAGTTAAAGCTTTTTTAATTTGCTGATAATTCTGACAGGAACTTTGTGAGGTTATGCTGTTTTATCATCTGACACACATATCTCATTTATCCGCTCTCATATCAGAACCATGTCTGGGTGGATGTTACGAGACACAACTCCAATCTGCCCCCACTTGCTGTAAAAAACCCAGATTGTCTTGGACTGCTTCATAAAATGGACAAAAGCAAGGACATGTGGGTCCAGCACTACTGCATTCTGAAGGATGGATGTCTCTACCTGTACAGTGGGATTCGGGCTACTCATGCACAAGGTAGGGATCCATCAGAAACAGCCAGTGGTTTAGTGAGTGGAGGGGCCAGGGAGGAAACGCAGGGGGGGACCGAGGTACCCCAGCAAAGGAAGCTAAACACAAGAAACACCCCAACAGAAACAGTAACCGCAAACATGACAGTAGCCATGTCCGCTTTCAAACATTTACAAGGTATGCAGTTTGCATTCTGTGCTGCTCCTGGTTGTACGGGGGCTGCCTGTTGGCCACAGGTCTTAGTGTTCACAGTGAGATTAAAGGATGTTGTCAGACAAGATATTCCCATAATGCCCAAAGTCTTCAGATTATCATGGTTAATCTCTTCTACCAATTCCCTCCTCTCACTGATTGTGTAAGTTCTCCTGCTTCGAATGATGAGAGGGGGGTCTGTAATTCTGTAAGCAAATCCAGGAAATTGTAGGACTTTTAAAGACTGTATTCTTTAAATTAGTTGAATTCCCCCAGAAGCACAAGCTGCACAGCACTCAGCCTCCATGATGATGGTGATCTGACCTGTTTGTTTGTCCCTCACAAACAAACAGCAGTCAGACCCCCCCCCCACAGTTTGCCAACACTCCCAGAAAATCAAAACCAGGCTGCTCAGCTGGGGCTACCAGCATCCCCACATCCACATCATGGGCATCTCCAGAGGATGAGATTAGAGTTTCCACACAGTGTGTAGTTTAATCCAACTTGATCTCAGGTTGTCTCTTTGCCAGCAAAGTGACATTTCAAATCCCAAGAGCCTGTTTATGACTCAGAGGTTTAGCAGGTTTTCCCATTTTGTAAAATACAATATTGTCCCATTCTGCTCAGGTGGGATGTACCTTCAGGGCTACACGGTGCGAGAGCAGCCCTACGGGTCCAAGAAGTCCACCATGGAGCTGAAACCTCCATCTGACGAGTTTCAAACTTTCTACCTTTGGGCTGAAAATTCAGCAGAAAACAATCGGTAAGAACTTTACTCACAGATGCTACATCCCTGCTTTACATTTAGCATCTTTTCTATGTCTTACAAACATATCCTGAACGTTTGGGGATTCTTTAGTGAGTTCGAAGGCTGTGAGGACGAGTGTGTGAGAAAACAAACCTCATTTACCCTTCTGATGCTTTTTGCAGATGGATGATTGCTATCAAAGCTTCGGTGAAGAAGTGGCTGCCTCTACATCAGGCCCTTCAGGACTATGTGAACCAGCTCCCCGAAGAGACCAGGATGTGACACATTTACTATATGCACTCCCTGACCTATGGTCAATATCCCTGTGGACCACTGAGGACTCAAATAATGATTGTTTTATTTTCCTATTGCCACTGGAAGGACCATGCCAATGCTGCTGTTTTTAAGATTTACTTCATTTTACTTAATAAAATGTATCTATTCCAGTTGGAGTGTTTCTGAATTCTATCATGCATTCATTTACATCCATTGAAAGATAGCATGTAATATCTCTTTTTTAAAACATACTTGAATAGATAGGCATAATCTTGGAATCAGATGTTGTAATTTACAGACACATCACAGGACAGCATACACAGATTTCCAAAATACAACAGCATGCATCTATTTCCTGGTAGAAGCTGTGCATACATGACCAAAGCCCAGTCCATGAACCAAACCAATGTGTGGGGAGCAGTGGCCAGTGCCCTGCCCCCCCACACAGACCACAGAGTCTGAAGCCTACAGACAGGTGAGGACTGTCCTGTCGGAGAGCATCCCCCCCATAAATAACCATTAAGATACAGGGTCAAACAGAGCCCAGTACCAGGAGGGAGGTGTACAGACCCAAAATGGGAGGACAACCCATCGACTACGCAAATTCTAAAACCTCCAGCTGCGCTGACCTTGAACCTAACACAGTGGACCAGCACCAGCAGACCACATCGAACTCCAAACCATCACTGATTCTGAGGCTCTCCTCCAGACTCTGGGGCCTTGGTGTCCAACACTAGCTGAGGTCAGAGAGCTTTGGCCCTCAGCAGCCCGGGCCGTGTGTCTTCAGCCCTGAGCAGAAGCTGTCTCTTGTTCAAATGTGTCCTGACCCAACGACAACAGCAGCTGGAAGCCAGGTCTTGCATACAGCCTCTAGACATAACATTTAGAGTCTTACCTTCATGTGTGAGGTGTCTGCCGTCTTTGAAGGCGTAGCTTACAGAACTAGGCAGAGACCATCTAAAGGCCCATGCAGGTGTTTGGGGGCGATTAGCTGATAGGCTTGTGGCACCAGGAGCTGAAGCAGTTCTCAGTTCTTGTCCTTAACATTAAAGGAAACATTTGGAATACATCATTATGTATGTAATGAACAAATATAATGTACTTTTTGAGTGGAACTACTGAAGTAAATAAACTTTTTCATGATATTCTAATATTACTAGCACCTGTACTATGACCTCAAGAGCACAATCTAGAACTAGACAAAAAGCAACATACACATCTGTATGATGTAGTAAAAAGGGTCCTAGTTACCTTTACTCAGAGAGAAAGTAAATGAATATTTTAAGGTGGAAATGAAGAATAGCTTGCAAACTCACATTTTTTCCTGCTTGAGAAAAAATGACTTTTTTTCTGTTGCCTGCATTGAAGAGAAGCTTGGCTAAAATGACTTATAGAGTTTAGAGGCCATCTCTGTTTTAGAAAAAAAGAAAGCTTTCTACCTCAGATAACAGAAACATGTAACATGTGAAGCATACCAGGCTCCCTACTCTTCATTTACTAATTCTGGGTAATAAGTAGCATTTATGGTTCATTTATGGTTTTAGAGGACATTTTTCACTCCTCTTAAGTTGAGTGGAAACTAAAGTTCCTCCATGTCTGCATTTGAGGTAGCTTCTGACCCAGAAACAACCCACCAGGAGCCAGACTAAAGGGAAAAGCCTTCCATGAACACAAACCCACGCAGCTAAACATACCGACTACGTGGAACCACAGTTCCATGGTTCCTGCTCCTGTGCTCCAGCTGATGGGAAATCAGCAGCAGCTGTGCCACCTGCCCAGCTCCCAGCTCCCCATAAGATCCTGCAAAGAGAAGAGCTCTCACACACGCACGCACGCACGCACGTCTGAGTACAACGTGCTTGTGGGGAATCTTTCCCGCTCGTCCCTTTTACCTGCGCTGTGTCTACAATACAATCTTAATTTTCAATCTATTTAATTTCACTCTGGGGTAAATAAAGTGTATTTTTACTGACTTTTTTATTCTCTTATGACTGAATAATAGGTGTTTTTCCCCAACACAGTGGAAAAAGCATCATTTTGTATTTACAGGAGCTCACAATCTGCTTTATTCTGAAAGTCTTGGTGACAGCTTCCTGTTTTTTGGACAGCCCAGTTGCTCTCTAAACTTCTGTCTCAGTGCAGTCCTCCTGGCTGAACAGTTGAGCTCATGATGGAATGGGGTTTGAGGTTCTCCTTTTATCTTCTCCTGACGGCCGGGCTGATTTTGCCTCTGGATTTGTGTCCGCCTCGCTGCCAGTGTGACGGCCTCATCAACACCGTGTGGTGTGTGGGAGTCCAGGTCATGCCCGCCCTGCAGCCCTGCACACAGGAGGTGTAAGTAGCCACTGTGTCCCCCCTGATGCCCTCCTGCTGACCAGTGCATCTCACACTCTCCGCTTCTGTTGCAGATGGCTAGTGGGGACCAAGCTTTCTTTCATTCCTCAAAACTCCTTTGCCAATTTGGTCAACATTTCTCATATGTAAGAGTCTTTTCCTTCTTAACTGTTTTCTTTTAATTAGTATAAATATTCTTAATAAAGGTTACCAACTAACTAAAAAAAATGCAACACTAAAAACTTAATAAATGATTTCCAAAAGCTAAAAAGTGAGTCAATGTGAATAAATTACCTTCATAGCAGAGCCCAAAAAGCGCCAGTATTGTTCAGAATTTGTCTTTAGGTTTTAAACGAATTTGATCTTATTCCAGAGGTCTGGTTTGGGGGTTACAGTGACATTATTCAGAACCTTAATCATCAGCTTCAATCGAAAAAGCACTAAAATCTCCAACCTCATGCCGATTGTTCAGGCTGTAGTCGGTATTATTTGGCACATTTGTGTGTAGGACGGCTCCATCTGCTGTGCAGGAGCTCAGTGCCCACAGACCTCCCTCTGTGTGCTCAGGGATTCCAACAAAAACTGCTGAAGTAGCTTTTCTGTTCTGGACTCATTCATTGTAAGTAGTTCTTCACTTCACTGGCTTCTGCTGAGAGGTTCCACCTTTCCATTACATGGGTGGGTCCCCCCCTGGGGGGGGGGGGGGGGGGGGGGGGGGGGGGGGGGGTGCACAGATCGGAGGCATGTTTGGACTCTGCTAGCAAAATGGGAAGTTTTTCACAGGCTCCCATCTAAATTCCACACAGAAGACGAGCCTTTGCTTTCAAGGCAAAGAATAAATCCTGATGGGACGTCAGCAGCAGGGAATGATGACGTGAGCACATTGTGCTAGTTACCATCCTGAGTCACTCCATCCAGGTCTGGATCCTCTGGAACATACTGGGCCTGAACCCTCTTATTTTAGCCCATTTCTGCCTTCTGACTGCTACACACTGCTTTCCCGCTGCTGGAGGTGGAAGGTGCCCTGATTGGTTAGTCAAAGGCTAGCGGACCTTTAGCCACGTGTGAATCTGAGAGCTGCATTCAAGTGCAACTCAGAAAAAACCCTAAAGATATTGTGACACATGAAACTCAGAAAACAACTATTTTCCTTCCAAGTTTAAACTAATGGTTTAGTAAACCAAATGTGAGACATAAATGACAGATGGATATGTTTTTTAATTAAGGGACAACAGTTGTGTCATGGAGGGATACACTTCAAATTGATGTGCACATTTCCACAGCTCTTCTTTTCCTGAAGGGACTCCTTTGTCTCTAAGTGTGATGCTGGCAACTCACATCAATTCCCCCAAATAAATTTCTATAATCTGTGTTGGTAATAACACTTAAAGAATGGTTTAAAGTTGAGTGAAAAACTAATCCCAAACCAGATCTGCTGACCGCTGTGCTTTTTCAGAAAGACAGGGAAATGTAATTAGTCAGAAATAAGAAGAGAGAGTTACTGTATTTGTCTAGCCTTAATACGCTGTTTTATCTGGTTTTATGTTTTTCAGATACATCTCTGATGATGACACTTTGACATCTCTAGACAGACATTCCTTTTACAACCTGTCCCGGCTCATGCACATGTACGTGACATTTAAACAACAGCTGTGACATTCAGCACCATGAATAAGCAGAGTTCTCATGTAATCTGCCACCGTCTGCTTCTCCCATAGAATAGATGAGAGTAGATCATTAACCTCCAGAATACTGAAAATTAGACTGCAGTTCACAGTTTTCATGGCAAAAATATGCAGGAAAAAATAATTATTCCATAAATATGTATCATTATAGGAATTTCTGAGTGCATGTGTGTTTCTAACAGACAGCTAACGGGTATAAAAACACTGGCCCACATCCATCCAGAGGCATTTAAGGACCTTCCCTTTCTAAAATACCTGTAAGTATTTCCGTCAATGTCTTTATAATGTAGGCTTCAGTTTACATTTGTCTTAGTAATATTTATCTAATACTTACAGTGTAATTGTATCTTCAGGTAGTATTGAGTGGCTTTAGACTGAGGGTGTGTTTTTATCTCAGTGGGATCACCAACACAGGCCTGACCTCCTTTCCTGGGCTGCAGCATATTCAGTCAAGACAAGATTATTTTATTTTGTATGTATTCTTGAAGGAAAAATTCTTCTTTTCCCAAGCTTTTCATTGTCAAAATTCCTTCCTACAAATGACTCATCTTAACGCCCTCATTTCTGTTGAACAGGGAAATAGTGGAGAATGTCTTCATCAAAGCCATTCCTGCTAATTCTTTCACGGGAATATCTGCAAATGCTTTGACCGTGTAAGTTAAATTGTGTAGAGCGATACCAGGTATGTTAACTCCACAGTTATTGTCACTGAATTTCTTATTTGGAACTTAGATCTGCTTTTCAGTTGATTTTCTCAGAATACCATTGGTATTTGGTGTTAAATGAACAGAACAGGGCATGGTGGAGGAGATTAAAACACATTTCACTAAATCTCTTGTTTAAAATAGTCAAACAGAGTGTGGTGCAGAGACACTTTTCAACATCATCCATTCAGAAATGTCCCAGTTTTCGGGTTTGTGGGAGAATGAGCTGGATCACTGGTAAAGGAGCAGAGTAAAGACATGAGCAGCTAAAGGAATCATTGTTGGCCTGGGATGGTTTCTGTCCCAGTTTTCTTATGCTGTGGATGGTGGCTTTCTAGTGTGAAGACAGCGGTTAGGTTTTCTATTCTGACTGGAATAGGCAGCATCAGGGCCTAGGAACTCACAGACCTCACCAGCCACTGCTCCTGGTGGATAACTAACTGTGTTTGCCTCCACTCATTTCCAGTTGCTGGTCTAGCGGTTAATAACAAATAGTTTCAAACTTAATTCAAACGAATGCTGCATTTATTTGAACGCAACTATTGGTAATACTGTGGGTGTTTTGTATCATACACATAACTGTGTTTCTCTTGTAGCATGCTGAATAGCAATGGTGTGACAGAGATACATCCCTTTGCTTTCAATGGGAGCAGACTAGAGGAAGTGTAAGGCTGGTATTATTCAATATGTCATTTTAGTGAAGAACAACTTTTATCTTTATGCGTCTGACACTTAGACACCGCTCTGTAGGCTGCGTTCCTCTTATCTTTTTAGGAGGTCTTGATGTTTTATGGATGACTTCAACATGTTGAACTGCTCTTAATCTACTCTCTTGGATTTAGGTACCTTAACAAAAACGGGGATTTGGAACATATAGATGACTTTGCCTTTTACGGTGTGATTCTTGGCCCAACTCACTTGTGAGTCATTGAAGAGCAGACAAAATAGAAATTCTAACCAGCTTTAGTTTATGGTACACTAAAAAGAACTGTTCCTTTTATTGAATTGACTCAATACTATTTGGACTTGTTTTAATCAGACTGTGCACAGCTGTAGTTCAGTTAGACTTCATGTGTGTAAAAGATTAAAGGAGTTGATTTGGTTAGGTTGGATCAGAAATAGTCTACAGTATACTTACATATTCAGTATACTTGCCAGCAGAAGCCAGACACAGATCAAAACTAAACAGGGGGGGAACCCAAGATAGAATTACAAAACCAAGAAACCAGACAAAGAGACGTTACCTGAGGTAGAAAGCATGGAGGACGTGATGATGGCGGGGTGAGGACGACTGACGGCTGACATGGTGATGACACACCAGCATCTGGAACCAGACCAGACCAGACCAGACCAGACCAGACCAGACCAGACCAGACTAGGAGGACTCAAGAGCAGCTGGACACAATCAGGAATCAGACAGACACACAAGAGGAAGGGAGGGTCACCAGAAGTTTCAGTTCTTTTGTGTACTGCTCCAATCAGAATACAACCTTCAAAGAATAATTAGTGTACCATGACATAAAGTTTTACAGAGATTTCTTATATCAAATAAGTTTTTCCACAAAACTCAGCTGTGTGTCCTCATGAGTTAATTTTTGTTCTTTCTCATTCCGCCCAGGGACATTTCAGAAACAAAAGTCCGCTCTTTGCCCTCCGTTGGAATGGACAATGTTGAAAGACTACAAGCCAGAAGAGCATGGGCCCTCAAGGCCCTGCCTCCCTTAAGTGCCTTTCTTCATTTGCAGAGTGCAGAATTAACCTTCTCAAGCCACTGCTGTGGTCTAAAAATGCTGAATAGGTGGAGAGGGTAACTAAAGAATCCAAATCCTTTGTGCTAGAGGTAGTGTGTGTGAGAAACATTTGGGGGTAAACAAATGGACACTGTAGAGTACTTGCTCAGAATTTTAGAGTAATGAAGTGAATGTGGTTCCTTCAGCATGCTGGAAGCTGTTCACAGTCAAAACTCACACTCAGAAAACTAAACCATACTTTGATCATATGAGTAAATCACAGTTGAAGTGTTTTGATATTTCAAATTAATTAAAACTCAGAGATAAAAACACATTTTAATGATCTTCAGATTTGTCCTCAACACTAATTATTGAAATATTTCAATCTCTAATGAATTATGCAAATCCATAAAGTGTCCTTCTGATGAGGCCTGGAGCATCTGTAGCTGAACAGATGCTGCTCTTGGTAATGTGTGGGGCAGCTTGCTGTTTCAGTAGTGCTGGTAGTTACAGGGGGGGAGCTGCTTTGTGTCGGTTGTGTGGGCCTGTTGTGTCAGTAACACACTGGCATCGTGTTTAAGGCGTTCTGAGGCAGCTGTCTGCAACCTGACCAGGGAGGCTTCAGGGATGCTGCAGGGACTCTCCACATCTCTGTCCAACTGGCATCTGGGCTCCAGGCTCCAGCAGCTCCAACACATCTTTGGTCTTCCAGCTGCTGACAGTAAAAGGAACAAGTCCAACCTCAGCCTCACCTGTCCCGTCGAGGTGTCTCAGAATGAGAGTGTGTTCCCGGTGGACTGGTCAGCAGAGCTTGGATCAGATGTGGAGCTGGATCTGTGTGGCCCGCCCTCCCCTGACGGCGGGCTGCGCTGCTCCCCGGGGCCCGACGCCCTCAACCCCTGTGAGGACGTGATAAGCCACGGCTTCCTGCAGGTGGCGGTCTGGGTGGTCAGCCTGTTCGCCGTGTCAGCCAACCTGCTGGTCCTGCTGATCCTGCTGACCTGCCAGCAGAGGCTGACCGTGACCCGCTTCCTGATTGGTCACCTGGCGCTGGCGGACGGCTGCATGGGCCTGTACCTGCTGCTCATCGCGTCTGTTGACGTCTACACGCGCTCCCAGTATTACCACTTTGCTATTTCCTGGCAGTCCGGAGGCGGGTGCCAGCTGGCCGGGATGCTGTCGGTCTTTGCCAGCGAGCTGTCCGTGTACACGCTGACCCTGATCAGCCTTCAGCGCTGGCACGTCATCTTTAACGCCATGAGGCCGGACAGGAAGCTGCGGCTGCGGCACGCGGCGCTGCTGATGCTGCTGGGCTGGTGTCTGTGTGGGTCTGCCGCGCTGCTGCCCGTCGCTGGGGTCAACAGCTACGGGAAGGTGAGCATCTGCCTGCCCATGGACACCGAGACGGCTGCAGCTCAGGCCTACGTCATCTCTGTGCTGATGCTGAATGTCATAGCTTTCGTGGTGGTGTGCTCATGCTACCTCCACATCTACCTGATGGTGCACAACCCTCAGTCCAACTCCAGCAGATACGACACCAGCATGGCCAAACGCATGGCCCTGCTCAACTTCACCAACTTCCTCTGCCTCGCTCCCGTCTGTTTCTATGGCTTGTCTGCTGCCCTCCACCACCCGCTGATGACCGTCACAGATTCCAAGGTGAGATGGACTGTTTACGCTGGAATCCACAGCTTCTTTCTGAAAATGAAGGCTGATTTTGTCCATAGGTGCTGCTGGTGCTATTCTATCCCCTCAACTCTTGTGTGCACCCGCTGTTTTACGCCATCCTGACAAAGAGATTCCACAGAGACACAGTGGTGCTACTGGGCCGGATGGGGCTGTGCAGGGGACCAACTGTTCTCCACCGGAGCTGACGTGGATTTCCTCCTACATTTCCAGAGAGATGACATTTGTCCCTTAGTAAGGCCAAATAAACTGTTATCCCCACACTGCTCTTCTTTTTCTGTTGAATTGATATAACTGTATAGCACTAGAATCAAACCTCTGCAATGGCCTACGTATCCTCTTGTGTTCTTGTACACTTGCAGAACCAGAACCTAACCAGAAGTTTTTATTTTTTGACATTTGAGAAGTCTTTTATGAAATTTGTGTTTTGTCTTTGTCCTGGACATCTTTTGTTTGGGGTCTGTGCCAAAACATGATCGGATTAGTACAATAAAATGACACAAATGAATCAAATTGCCTTTCATTTACATTTCTGACCTAAAAGATTTTAAAGGATTCTGTAATAAATGATCTGATGTTGTGAGTGACGGCCGTAGTGGGCGTGTACCGAATGAAACACCTAGCTGAGACAACGGGAGACAAACAGAGAAAACCATTCTAAAATCAAATAGCCAAAGGCTAATTCTAACTATCCCCCTAGGACAAAATTTTATGTCAACTAAAACAAAGAGGCTTGTTATTTCTGCATCATGTCCCAGTAAGCTCAGTGTGAGTAGCCATGTAAACATGAGGGTTCAGGAATACTAACCACAGACTTCATCACCTCCTCTGTAAAGTCAACCTTTTGTAATCTTCAGAGCCCTCCAGGCTCAGGGAGGGAAACCGGTGGATCTGCATGCTGTAATAACGTGAACACACAGAAACTCAGGAAAACAACCCAGACACCAGCTGATTCATCCAAAGGAAAATAAGGAGACGGTATCATTCACACAACGCTTTAAAACCACAGGTTCCTGGGTAATGAACCCAGTCTTTATAGTGGACTCTGAGCCACATGGAGAACATACTCAGGAGGCAGAGCCGGTTGGAACCAGTCTATGATGATGAGACCCACCACAGAGGACCAGTGGGGTTTAGATCATCCACGTGAGGAAGGTATCTGAACCAGAGAGAGTCTGTTTGGCTCAGAGACTTTGGGTAACTGGAGGGGAGCTGGAGGCTGAGCCAGGCTGGATTGCAGGTGAGCTTCAGGGAGGAGGAGCTGGCACCACCAGCCAGCACTGAGAACCAGGTGAGGGACTTGCAGGTGATCGAGGGAACCAGGAAACAAACAGAACCGGATCCAGAGAGCAGAGCTCCTCAGAGGACAGGTAACTGAGGACTGGCAGGTAACTCCTATGGGAGGACTGGAGTCACCACAGAGGAGCTGGCAGCAGGCTCCTCTGAGCTCCCACTGATGAGCTCTGATGCAGGACACCCAACCAACCAGCTCTCTGGCGCCACCCAGAGGATGAATGATGACACGACAGCCTCCCAGGTTTAGTTCACATGTTTATATTAAAGACCATTAACGTTCAACCTGAGTTATGGAGGAACATGAAAAATAAAGGCCCATAGAGATACAGGTGCTTTGCTTCTACATGTACAAAAGGCTCCAGCCCCGTAGAGGCGTTTCCCATCCATTCACCAGAGTCTCTGCTGTGCTGGACTGGGGGTCATCTACAGAACGCATCGTTCAGAGCTCCTGAAAAAATTCTACTGGGGCTCAGTATGTGGTGTGATGCACCTCAGACTCAAAAGGGAAACAGCTGGGATCCTGGTTTAGGGTTAGCATCCTCAGGGAGCCGGGTTTAGGGTTAGCATCCTCA